GGGGGGGGGGGTGGGGGGGGGGGGGGGGGGGGGGGGGGGGGGGGGGGGGGGGGGGGGGGGGGGGAAGGGAGAAGGAGTAGCCGGGCTTCCCACATCCCCACGGGGAGGGAGTAGTGGATCTTCCGATGCATGGGGGCCTATGATGCAACATCACCATTCTAACCGATGTCATTTTCCGCTTAGTGAAAAAAATGACAAAACGCAGCCAACATGTATCTGCGTGTTAAACTGTAAGGCATTCGTGATGTTAACCATCTGACTGCTGCAGGTTTAGCGAAAAAACGTATTTTCACATCAGCAAGCTTGGTGCGTCGCATTCCTGGTTTTGAAACTGATTTGTGAGAGATTGGAAAGCTTCTGAACAGCAGCAGCGACATGCGACAAGTTAAGCAACCATTTCCAAAAAACATTAATGAAACATCCCTGACCTCCCCACATTGGTTAAGCAATCACTGCAGGGAAGTCAGGGTTGTTTCATTAATGTTATTGGGTTGTACTTTCGCGCGATGCTCAGCTGTGTCTGATCTATCCGTTTTCAGCTGCGTGCCTCCGCTTACTATTTGACCTCCCTGCAAAGCTACATTTTCATTTGCCGCCCCAGTAGTAATTTTTTGCGAGTGGTACGCAAAGTGAGCAAAATCTTTGCCCATCAAATTTTGTCGTTGTCTTGTGCTCTAGCCACTCATCAGACAGAAAGCTTAGCTATTCATACAAATACAAAGAGATTCACATAGTTATAGTGGACGATTTACAAAAAAGCATGGCTTTGTTGTTAGAGAAAGATGTGCATTTTTTCTCAGGAAGCCGGCACTGCTGTATACCACATTTATGTCAGACATTTCTTCAAAAAATTGAACAGTCATGTTTTTTAAAACATTACTAGAATTCTATCGAAACGGATCGAGTGCACTTTTTTTAGTTTTTGTGCATTTTTTGCAGCTATGCAATGCAAAAACTCATATTGACGAGAGGTTGCCTGTGCGTGTTTATGCTTGTGTATGTAATGTGCGCTGGGCCTTTGTGACGATTTCTCATCTCGAGACCTACAAAAGCTACGGGGTTGAAACTTTGGAAACTTAATCTACACGCATGTACGAGCCGCAATCCCCAAAATGGACGATCTTATCGCGTGGTACCCACGTACGGGCCCGCGAAAGTTTTTTTCGGGTAAGTTGCTAACTCGCGAACTAGAAAAGCTAGAAAGCTGCAGTTTTAAGGGGATATTCCCCGTGCAAGTAGGACTCAATGAGCTCAAATCCAGCCCTCGGGTATACGTGGTACCCACATAAGGGCCCGCCAAAATTTTTTCGGTTAAGTCGCTAACTCGAGAATTTGAAAAGCTAGAAGACTGTAATTTTAACAGGATGTTTCCTGTCCACGTAAGTCTCAATGAGCTCAGACCCAGACACCCAGTATACGTGGTATCCATGTACGGGCCCACCAAATTTTTTTTTGGGGTGAGTTATTAACTCGGGAACCTGAAGAACTAGAGGAGTGAAATTTTAAGGGGATGTTCCCCATCCAAGTGGGTATTAATGAGCTCAAACTCAGCCCCTGGGTATGGGCAGTATCCACGTAAGGAATCGTGAAAGTTTTTTTCGCGTAATTTGCTAACTCGAGAGGCAGGAAGGCTAGAAAATTGAAATTTTAAAGGTGTTTTCTGACAGTTCTGGCAGCTAGTCTTAATTCGTTTAGCTAGAAGTATTGGCCGGAAAAAGCGGTGCCGGTAGCGACAAAAACTGTGGGGAACTGTGCAAAAACGCATCTTCGCACGAGCAGCCCATGCATCGGCCAGTTGTTATGGTACTGCCACGATACTGACTAAACCATACTACACAACGACGGCGACGGCGAAAACAATGGCAGACGATAAGAAACACATCCAAGACAAAGCATATCGGCATTTCATTCATTTTTTGAGGCAAAATTTGTACTGACTATACAGTAGCAATATTCGTCAGTCAAAATTACTGGAACGAAATTATAAAACGTGTCTGTACAAAGTGCTTTTGGTTCTTCATCATTTATTGCTCATCATAATCAAAATTCACCATTTGAAAGTGAGTGCCGAATTTGCGCAGCTTGAAAAGAAGCTGCGCCTGCTTCTCGACAGCTGTATAAACTATAAGCATGGAATACTGAGTGTCAGAGATCCATTTTGCAATATTCAATTTCTATGAAACTTCTATTGTTTAGGAGTAGATATTTGCGTAGAACTGCTTAAAAAGAGCTGCCATTCCGAAAGTCATTAATCTGCCTCGAGCACATCTTTATCTATTTGGACGCACAGTCACCTCTCCGCTGGTTCCTCTGAAATATGTTCTCCAACAACAAACACCTGCTCTTGTGGCTTATTTCAGTGACGATAAGTTTCAGCGCAATAGTGGTTGGGCCGAAACGTATTTTGCAAGCGAATCCTCCAGAAGGTGTGCTGCTTTGCAAAATTCCTGAGATTATGTTTCATGTTAAATTACACCTCAGGTGCAACCAGCTACTTGTAAGCAACTAGCAGATGTCCATTAACGAAGATATATAACAGTCTGAGGTTGCATTTTGCTCACACTAGAAAGTTGCGCAGATAAGAGAAAACAATTAGCTAAGTAACGAATGCGGAAATCTTAAAATAATTAATAGATAGGGGGAAATCATGAAATTTTTTTGGTTATGTAAAACTTATATAAATAGCGCATTCAACGCATGAGAATCATCCTTGCAGAATTTAGCGGCTTAAAATTTTCGAAATGCGCTGAATGCATTCATGTCACATCTGTGCTGCACAATAAATAAACTCAGTTCATTCTACATCAATTGTTCAAATATTCAAAAATTTGCCAGAGCTATGCAGGTGTAACTCAAACTGGAAAACACCAGGCTCGCCTGTGCGATCATGCATTTCTGTACTAAACTTGCAGATCGCAGACATTAGGAATGATTTCTGCGCTGTAGATTAACACTTCCTCTCATATCGATCTCTTTTGGCCTCTTTCCAGCCTGCGAGGGAAAACGACGCCGGTTGGGATGAAAGTATTGCATTTCCATGCCGTGTAGACTCCCAGGTTTACGATTTTCGGTATTTTGCACGAAACTCGGTCGTTTTTCCGGTACATGCTCCCTCTCTGGGAAAATGCAAACTTGAGGGGATTCAGAAGTGCACTAGCCCTTGGGCTTGGATCAGACTGAGTATTTGCCAAGTCTGTGCGCAAGGGATTTTACCTCCAAACTGTAGTTCCCAAAATAATAGTTTTCCCTGCCAGAAGTTTCAGGGGATCATACGTAGCACTGAAGGGCTCGGAAAGGTGGGCGGGAATACTCCCCTAAATTCTTAGCTTCCTAGCTTTTGTGGTTCCTGTGCTAAAAACTGCGGACAAGTTGCATCGGGCCGGCACACACACACAAACGCAAACATAGATAGCCCCGTCAAAATACGCATTTTGTGCAGTTGTATAATAAAACTAAAATACGTACGAGGCAATAGACCACAATCTGGAAAATACTTTGAGACTCCGTTTCAGTGATATAAATCTAGATTTCAACAGTCAAAAACTGAAGCTCAGAGCTTACGTTAACTTACCTTTGTTTACTTTTTTTACTGAATGGACAACCTGCCAAACTCTGAACAACCCGTTCAACAACGAGTGAAGTCTGTCACCCGCTTTCAACTCAATAGGAGGGGCAGCAATAATGTAACACTACCATCCCAGCCGACACCCTTTCCCTCACATGTAAGAAAAGGCCAAAACAGGTACATGTTTTGCACTTATTAAGCTGTAAAGCAGCAACCATTCATGCTACTAGAGATCTAATTAGCGCAACAACGCATGATCGCACTTTCAAGCCTGATGCATTGCTGTTTGGGCTTTATTAAAAGGCAGCTCGCAAACTTAAGTAAGTATGTAAATCAGGCCCGCATGCTGCCAAAGACTGCACAGGCCTGTTCTAGATAACTGCAGGTACTGCCTGGAGGTCATAGCTGTTGGAGGACATGACCCAGTCATGCTAAGGCTCGCGAAGGAAAATTTTGGGTTTTCTTTTTTTTTTTTTGAAGGCATCTCTGCCCTGAATACCTTCCTCTAGCAGAAAATGGATAAGAGCCAGCTACACGTCCCGATCCTAAACCGAAGACCCACGAGAACCAGCAGCAATCTCAGACGCCTCACTCGAGCACAAGAGCGGCGAAATTAAAAACCAACGATCATCGACTGGTAATTTGTGCAGGACCCAACCCTTTGGATGCCCGTCGAAATGCGAGCACAGGGTCACGTGTCGACATTTCGACGTGAGATTTTTGGCGTAAAAACTGCTCTTTGAACAGCCTGATCGTTTTGAATAAAAGGCCGTGCAACGGCAATTTCTGATTTTGCTTCGTGCAGAATTTACGATTATCTATGCTAAGGAATGCACAAACTAAATACAAACTACGCCATTCATGCAGTTAGTGACCTGATTGCTTTAAGTTTAATACAAAGCGCGTGGCTGTATCGGCAAGCTTGGTGCACTTCAGTCTAGGGTTTGTGTGTGAAAATTATATATTTTATGTAAAGTGTTAAAAGTAGATTTTGTATCATGAATTATTGCATCTTTTTTGCTTTAAAATGCTTTATGTAGTTTTATACGCAAAAGTATATCTTTTCCTGTTATCCGACCGTAAAATCGGCAATTTTTTCTGATGTGCATCTTTTATCGGCAACTACTAGAAATCGGTTCAGCTGAGATCGACCGCTCTGCAGAGACACTCCCGTTCCTTTGCCACTGAGACACCAATGCTGTCTTGGGTGTCATTTGCTGGCACTGCTTGGCATGATGCCACTGCTTGTTGGGTAGTGTCCGCGAGAGTTTCCCAATGCTTGGGACTGGAATAACGTGGTTAAGGGTGGTGGATGGAAAGGAGAGTTGGTTTGAGCCGCGGAGGCCCGGGATCGACGGGGAGGGGAATGGAAAGCGACTGAAATGCTGGTTGTTTAGGGAATGCACGGAGGATTTCTGCCACATTAGCGCCATTCAGCGGGCAAACTCAATGCATCTTTTACAAGAGAAAGAATGTAATACAGCAGTCTTTCTGACTGAAATCACTGGAATGAAACATGTGTCGTGGTTGGCACCCAGCAGCATTAATCAAAGCAGACTGAAGCGTTGCCAACTGCTTTATTTTCTGTGGCTGAGGAGCTGCGCTACGAAATGTTGCTGAACGAAATATTAAAGCTACGGTATGCATATTATACTTGACGAATGGGGCATCTCGTTTCCTATATGCTAACAAAATGATTGGCAAAAATCATAAATATTTTTAAAACGCACAAAAAACTTTATTTTTCCTCCAGCATCCGGGCATACTTTATGGTACTCAAATACAAGCATCCTTTTCTACAAAGAGATAAGCAAAAAAGGACGTTTATCAGTTAACAGCGCAGTAATTTTTATGCATTTTTGCTGTGCAGCGCTGTAGCGCTGTCTGTATATCTTCAGCCAGCAAAAACGCATATTGTCGAGAGGCTGTCTGTGTATGTGTGTAGTGTGTGTATGTGTGTGTTCGGAAAGCAAGTGCATTTTGTCACTCACTTTCATCTCAGCAACCAGGAAAGCTGGAAGGCTGAAACTTTGTGTATATGTTCTACCCCGTGTGTCATCCTCCCATTTTAAGATCTTTCCTCATACGCGCTTAGACCCCGCGTACAAGACCTCCAAAAAAACATGTTAGCGGGAAACGATTTCGCGAATCAAGCAAAGTAGAAAGCTGAAACTTTGCAGGGATATCCTCTGTGCACGTGCAAGCTAAAGATTTTAAACTCAACTGTCCAGCACCCCAACCACAGCCTCAAGCATCTCCTCAACCCAAAAATCATTAGCAACTCGGACCTGAACCGCAATTATATATGCAAATGAACATGGATTTTTTGAAAAACGACCGTTCGAGCAATACTTTCAATTTTTAATGAACTGAAAATTTGCACATTTTCAAAAAAATCGTTCACAGCTCGGACCTTAACCGCAATTATATATATAAATGAACGTGGATTTTTTTGACAAACGACCTCTCGCGCAATACTTGCACTTTTTAGTGAACTGGAATTTTGTATTTTTTCAGAAAATTTGGCATTTGTCATTTTTTCACAAAGAGAGCATTTACTGAAAAAACGACAGAACTTCATGCAAAAAACAGGTAGTCATGCACCTGGATGTCCGTGCGGCTCTGTAGTGCACCATTTTCACCCCAACTGTTGCCCTTCCTCCTGCATGCCAGAAGGGGCAAAGCACGGCCAATATGAGCCCAAGTGTTAGGCTACAGCGTAGGGATCATTCTTGCTAATAGCATCTGCTAGTTTAGTGCAAAAACGCAGCATCGCACCGGACAGCCTGATGCGTACCAGTCTGGGTTTGAAATATATGTAAATACTCAAAAAATTTAGAGACTTTTTAAAGCACAAATGCTAACAAAAAAGCATGCTTAATCCTGAACATTATCATATTTACATGCGCTCATACCCGTATATATAAGCAAGCAAAGAGTCCAGATTTCCTTACAAACACCATTTGGTATGCGTGGCGGAATTCTGACTTCTGCTTTTGGTACCTTCGTTCTTTTCTGCAGCTTTAGCGCTGTTCTAGCGCTTGGATCAGTTGAAGGTAGTTTTTTGAGAGTTTTTAATCAATGAATTACCGAAAAGTCTTTTTAAACATAAATACATAAGACACACATACTAGTTTTGACAGCACGTTAATTAGTTGTGCAAAACGCAAAATAAACGAGTAAGTTAAATAATCGGTCAGTGACTCTTTTGCTTCTTTCCATCTATTCCCAGCACTTGATAAAGTGGTTCCCCATGCGTGGAAGCCTTCCTAATAACATCACCAATATCCACACCCACTGTACGGGAAGACCATGGTATTCTTGATACGGGATAGCTCCAAGTTCTACATTTGTTTATCCATGACAACAAGCTTTACAAGAAAGTACCCAATTAAGCTAGGATTTTGAGAAATCATACGAATATTTTAGAATGCGCCAATGCATTTCCCACACACTGCTCATCATCCCTCCCTCGAATTGCGGTGATCCATTTATTCGAATGCATGTTTGTCCCAAAACATGCGGTTTTTGTGGTACTACCACGATGCTGACTACATAATATGACACAACAAAGACGATGGCAGAAGGTAAGAAACAAATCCAAAACACAGTTCAAAAAAACAATTCCGAAACACGGTTATAAACATACATACTCTACTCATTCTATGATGCAAAAGGTGTGAACTTTCAGAAATCATAAGAAAACAAGCTGTAATGATAGTTTAAAAGAATTGTTATGAATTTTGAATTTGTAGCTTGCTGTAAAATGCATGAAAAATGATAAAGTGGGGTCCAGAGCAAACAGCTGTAAATTTGCAAAATAAATCTCACAAAACGTTCGGAATAAAGCATAATGCAAATGGGGAATGTCACGAAATGCAATTCGCGAAAACCAGAAAATTGTTAGTCCTGACATTTAATCGTAAGAGATCAAAACTTTTGAAAAATACAACCCAAACACATTTACTTATGCCCGAGGAGGAAATTGTTGGGTTTCTTTTTTTGAGGGTTTCTCTAATTCAGCTGTCTTCTCTCTTAGAAAATGAACAGGGAATGGACTTTAACCAACACCTAATTTTCGAAGTAATTGAACTAACGATTAAGAAATGTCTTTGCAAAATGCAATTTGCTCGGCTGTTGTTGATTGCTCGGTAACGAAAACCTGCATCTAAAAAACACTGTGAATGGTGTACTCTGTGTTTCAGCTTAATCCAAACGATAATTTCAGGAAGCATATCAACACCGCCAAACACTTCTATAACCACAACAACATTGACAATCACGACCACAATAACCACGACATCGTCAAATACGACCACAATAACCACAACATCATCAAATACGTCAGAAACAACTACGACATCGTCAACAACTTCCACAACAACCACAACGTCTACAACAACATCGAATGCATCCACGCTATGTGCAACAACACCGACCACAAACTCGTCAACCACAACAGCAACTCCCCTTTGGACGCCGAATGCGACTACAACGACAATGTCCCTAGCACCAAGTTCGGCTCAGTTAAACGATTCCGTTTTTCACTTCAAATAACTTTATCGCCTTGACGAAAATAGCAGTTACTAAAACCTGGCTGGGTTTAAGTTTCGGGAGCCGTGAATGAAGAAGGGAAACACAGATAATCACTGGCAATGTGATGGGACCTTGCTTGGAGGCAACAACTGGCGGCAGTAGGGTGAAGGCTAGCAGGCGGAGGAAGAGGGTTATGTGTGTTTATGATGCTAAGCAAGCAGCTCGATGCAGGAAGAAAGACAGTAAGCTCACGCTCGCACACCACAATTTTAGCAGAAGAAAATATCTTGGAACTGTGTAGGGTATGCTTCGTGTTGCTTGCATACAAACGCGTCAGTGAATACAAATTATGCGCTCTAAACGAGCTAAGCTTTATTAATTGCCCACATATTCCTCTTCGGCGAAACCGTTAGATCACGTCAGTATGGTGTTTATGGTGTTGTTAGTGAAAAACACTAGAAGATGGATGGGGAGGAAGTGGGGGAGGGGAGGGAGGAGATGGGAATGGGAAAAAGGCTGTAAAGTGTAAATAACGAAATGAGACATTCGCCAATGCGCACTTGGAGGGCCAACTTTGAATAGTAGCTGAAAAAAGCAGCCGTCGTTGAAAGCTAGTAATGACGATCGTCACTCCTACTCGCGTAAAACACTCTGTCTGTGTTTACCGTCAAGTGATGAAATAAGATGTTATACTGATAATTGCAGTGCTGAGTTAGGACGTATATGACTTAATGGACCGAAACGTCTTACCTCGCTCTCACTCTCTCGTGAACTCCTTCACGCCTTGCCATCTGCACTTTCAGGGTCAACCCGGATGCTGCGATCTGCTTATCTTACATTAGAATACGTAGTTTTCCAACGATTATATAAAACAAATTTGTAACCGATGAGACTGTTTTACAGGATGTCAGCGAGGATGGTACTTGTATTCAGTCGACAACTTGTGCTACTATCCGGTGAGCTGGATTTTTGTCAACAGCCTTCTATGATGCACTACCTTACATCATGCGTCTTAGCCTATTAAAAGCGGGCACTTTCACGTGTGCAACTCTTGCAGCGAATTGCCATCACCAGGTCTTCTCACCTTATCCAGAACTCGTCTTTCAACATCCACTACAAAGCAAAATTAACCGATTTGAATTCATAGGACGTGCTCTGGTGTTTGCTCTATCCAGGTTCTGCGGCCATGCTTCTAAAAATTTTTTCCGCATGAACAAGTCGGCATCTTCTGGATTGGAACTTTCTGAACATCTGTGTCATGCAGAGCATATTTTTTCTCGTCTTTTTCATGCACACTTATTTTTTAAAATGCACTTGTTCTAAAAAATCGTAATTGTAATTCAGATTTATGGACATATGTCGTATGAGGAGGCTTATCAAAAATGCTCTACTTTGAATGCATCAGTTGCCGCACCCAAAGATGCAGCGCAAGATGTGTTCATACGAAGTAAATTTACATTCAGTAGCTAAGACGTAGAACAAAATCTATGGTGGTGGCAAGAAAGCAGTAAAGGTATTCAAGCAGGTACCAAGAAAGTAATAAAACCACTCTCCTTAGCAATGCGTTATTTTCGGCGACTATTGCTTTTGTTCTTCAAACCAGTACAGTCATGCGTATTTTTTGACCTGC